GCAGACATGACAACGATATATAAAATCTTCTATATGAATGGGCTAATAAACGCTCAACAGAATGCTATTTAAATATAAATATCAGCATGTAATGTAAATAATAAAGAGGTGATAAGGGGGGAAAATATATTCGTGTTATAGTAAGTAATGATGGAAATAGCTCAAGCAATTTTGAACTGCTTGTTTCTGAATGATCTCCAGGGTGTTGTAAGCTCTTCCCCACAACCATCACCCACACCCACCATCACCCCCACCACCACCATCACCACCACCATCACCATCACCCCCACCACCATCACCACCACCCCCACCCCCAGCACCAGCCTCACCACCACCACCACCACCACCACCCCCACAACCACCACCACCCCCACCACCATCACCACCACCACTACCCCCATCACCACCACCCCCACAACCACCACCACCACCTCTACCATCACCCCCACCACCACCCCCCCAACCATCACCCCCACCCCCAGCACCACCACCACCTCCCCCACAACCGTCACCCCCACCATCACCACCACCCCCCCCCCACCCCCAGCACCCCCCCCCCCAACGCTTGTCAACATAACTTGCCTCTCTCGCCGTAATGGCATCCCACAGTGCCACCAATATCAGGGAATGCCATTTTATTGTCTGGCACTGATAAGTTCGCTGGTGTTCCCTGTTGTAATATCTGCTATTTGGATGACTCCATTATTTTATTGACCTAAGGCTCTTGGGATCTGTATACATACCTTCTCTATCTCTTTCTATATACATATATGTATTGTTTACACACATGTAGAAACATACATGGGTCCACAAACACGCAAACAACCAAACACAGTCATTAAAGCAGCCACCACAAATCGTCTAATGAACTGGAAAGTGCCTTAAAAAAATCACCAAATGAGAATGCAAATTGCTTATTTTTTTTTTTGAAGATTATTGTAGGAGCTGAAACAATGGCAAGGTATTTATGGGAGCCGTTAACGTGGTAATGAGGCAGGTGAGGAATGTCCACCTTGATTGTTTCTGATCGACGAGGCTATGTGCACCTGTGTGTGTGTGTGTGTGTGTGTGTGTGTGGGTGTGGGTGTGGGTGTGTGTGTGTGTGTGTGTGTGTGTGTGTGTGTGTGTGTGTGTGTGTGTGTGTGTGTGTGTGTGTGTGTGTGTGTGTGTGTGTGTGTGTGTGTGTGTGTGTGTGTGTGTGTGTGTGTGTGTGTGTGTGTGTGTGTGTGTGTGTGTGTGTGTATTCACCTAGTATTCACCTAGTTGTGCTTGCGGGGGTTGAGCTTTGGCTCTTTCGGCCCGCCTCTCAACCGTCAATCAACAGGTGTACAGGTTCCTGAGCCTACTGGGCTCTATCATATCTACATTTGAAACTGTGTATGGAGTCAGCCTCCACCACATCACTTCCTAATGAATTCCACCTGTTAACTACTCTGACACTGATAGAGTTCTTTCTAACGTCCCTGTGGCTCATTTGGCTACTCAGTTTCCACCTGTGTTCCCTTGTTCGCGTACCACCCCGTATTAAACAGTTTTTCCTTATCTACCCTGTCAATTCTTCTGAGAATTTTGTAGGTAGTGATCATGTCTCCCCTTACTCTTCTATCCGCCAGTGCCATTAGGTACATCTCACACAGTCTTTCCTCGTAACTCATGCCTCTTAGTTCTGGGACCAGTCTAGTGGCATACCTCTGAACATTTTCCAGCTTCGTCTTGTGCTTGACAAGGTACGGGCTCCATGCTGTGGCCGCAGCGTGTGTGTGTGTGTGTGTGTGTGTGTGTGTAGGGACCCCTCACCCCCTCGAAGAAAAGGAACAAAAGCCACAACTATTTTACAAAAGCGTTCTTTCCTTCCAGGACAAAACCAACAGGCAGACCTGATAATATCCGGCCCCACAAGAGCTGGGCCAGACCCAGGGGGGATTAGCCAGTCCCGTTTATCAGCCATTATCAACAATCCCCTGGTAATGGACCGATTAGAGCGTCCTCTTTTTAAAAGACCTCCAAAATTCAGGCAATTAACTATAAAAATTCTTTTGCCACAAAAACTCTAGAACAATTACTTCAAAACGACCTAAAAGAGGAAATGAGTTTGTTGTGGAAAGCTTTGGCTTCTACTGCAGATGAGTAGGAATATAGTATATATATATATTATACACTCATATAAATATATAATATATATTTAATGAAATATTTTTGGATACTTAAATATTTCTAGGATGAAGGGTTTCTGTACTGTATTTATTTCGTTTTTCTTCACTTGGGAAATAAATTAATAAAATTAACTCCAAAATTGATTTTTGAAATTGTATTGGCTTGGCATTAATTGATGCGTTTGACTGAACCTTTCAACATCTTCAGAAGGCGGGAGGAAGTGGTGTAATTAACTAAAGATACGTTAATTCTAGATAAGATACTCCTGCTTTAACTTGGGTCCATCGTTCCCTCGCTTCTCTCAGCTATCTATCCTGCTATCCTCCCTCCCCTCTCTCTTCTCCTCTTTCCTCTCCCCACTCTCGTCTCTCTCTTCCACTATTCTTCACTTTTCTCCCTCGTCTCCCCCTTCCCTTTTTCTACCTTCTCTCAATTTCCTCCCTCTCACATCTCGCTGTTTCCAATTCTCCCCATCTTTACTAACATCTTTTCCCCCTATTTTCTTCCGTCTCTCTCTCCCCCCTACTTTCCTGTCCTCTCTCTCTCTCTCTCTCTCTCTCTCTCTCTCTCTCTCTCTCTCTCTCTCTCTCTCTCTCTCTCTCTCTCTCTCTCTCTCTCTCTCTCTCTCTCTCTCTCAGGAAATGATGTACTGTGAGAACTCGGTTATCTGAATTTCGGTAACCGGAATTTCGGTAATAGTGAACCGAATCAATAAGTGTTCATCATTTTCGAGGTTACATCACAGGTAACCAGGTGACCCTTGATGATGGACAGGCAAACATCGGGAGCAGATGCTAATCGGTAAAAAACATCTCTGATTTCAGACTTAACTTCATGAGTTGCAGGAGGGGGGGGGTCGCTACAGATGCGGATATTTCTTACGGTGTCACTGGGGGTCGACCCCCACTGACTAGCCTGTGACACATAGTTCCCATGTGTCATCTTGGAGGCTTGGGCGAGGCTAGCCCTGAGCGTCTGGTTTTCAACTTAGGACAGATAGAAAAACCTGATTTTTATTGATTTTTATTGATATTATTTACCATGTAGGATGAGGTTAAGTGTGGACTTGCTTAGATGCCAGCTGCCGGTTGATTGGGATTGGTAAATATTGTTCTATCCAATAACTCCCAATCAGACCATAACAGGAGATTTAATAACCACAACAACACTGAAATAATCTACAAATAAAACAACTGATGATATTGCATATAGATGAAGCATTACATATCAAACACTCATTCCTCCATTATCAGCCAACAATTACTGGCCCGGCCATGAATAGCCCGTAAGTGGAAGCTCTTTGGAGCCATTACCAGTACCAATAGCTGATACTGGGGATCTGGCGATGGATGGTGGATCTTCATGGTGGATTTCAGCCTCGGAGGGCTGGCTGTACCAGTTATGGAGCTGGTGGATTAGTGTAGACCTCCGGGTCTTCCGTTTGTTTTTGGCTGAGAGTTGCTGGGAGTTGACAAGGCCGTGTTGTCGTTGGAGTTTGGTGAGGTGGCCTCCATGAGGAGGTCTTGTACCGTGTAGGTGTCGTATTTGTGTGGCAGCAATGGAGCTCCTACTAAGATTTCCTCGTCTGAGGAGTCCGTAACATCCGTAGTTGGTGGTTTTGTCTTCTGTCTCGCAGCCTGAGGTAGGCTCAGGTGTTGTGGATTACTGGTAGAAGCTATTTCAGGAGCGTTGGTGGTGCTGTTAGTATCTGTAGACACCACGCCTGCTGAGATGGTGATGGTAGGAGTGTCGGGAGCTGGAGAGGGGAAATACCTCTGTGCCGCCCGAGTTTTGGGTGGTTCTGGAGTCTGTGTTGAGATCGTGGTCGTCCTGGTGGTAGTCTCCAGATGTGGTAGTGGAGGCAGTGAGACTTGCGTCCGGGGCGATGATGGGGTCCAGGCCGTTGGCTAGGTACAGCGCATTGAGTTCCTTGACGAATCGTTGATTGTCTGGTCCGGCAAGCCTCTCCGCTAGTCGAATAAGACCAGGGATAATGCCTGCACGTGATGCAAGGGACTGTGAGGGTGCTGGTTGGTCCTTAGGTCCCCAATGTGGAGGCCGGGTGGCCTGTTGGGAGGAGCCACTGTTTGGTAGGACTGGGAAGTCTTCTGGTAGGTTGGTGGGAGCTGAGGTGCTGGGTTTGGTGCCGGTGGCTCCGGCGGCGGAAGTAGAAGGTTTGACTTTATTGGATTCAGCCTGGATCCTAATGATTTCCTGTCTGCGAGGGCAGCGGTGGGAAATTGCAGGGTGATCGCCGCTGCAGAGCAGGCAACAATGGGTTTTTGACTTGCAGATGGAGAAATGATGGTCTTTGACACAAAGGCCAAGACCAAAGGCTACACAAAGACATAGGTGCAAAGGCTGCACTTCTGGACGGGGTGCTGACACTTGTTGGTGTGGTGGGAGTAATCGTAGCACCTAAAGCACTGTTGGAGCTCGTGGAATCGTTCCTTCTTCACTTGGAAGGGTGGAATCTTGATGCCGAAGCAGTGGAGACCATGTGTGGCAGCCTGGTTAGCCGCGGCTAAGGTGGTGAAGGATATCTTCATGGTGGGGCGCTTGTCGTCGTCGGTATCGCTGCTGCAGAATATAACATCGAATACCCCCAGGTTCGGGTTTTCTTCCTCGATGTTGGTAATGATCTCCGTTTGTTCTCGGTCCGCGATCCAGCGGCTGGTCCCGCTGATAAAGACTGTTCGGTCGGCGGTGCAGAAGATGGCACTGAAAGCGACAGATTTACCTCCGCTCCTCAGAGATACTATCATCTCTCTCTCTCTCTTGGTCTAGGATACAACGTTTTTTTTTCTGGGCTAAGGAAGTCTCTCCTTGGTTTGACCTACGGGCGTTCATTGGTTATGCCAGTCTCCCCCAACTTTATCAGGGGTGCTGGCGTCTCCCCCATCTTTATCAGGGGTGCTGGCGTCTCCCCCATCTTTATCAGGGGTGCTGGCGTCTCCCCCATCTTCATCAGGGATGCTGGCGTCTCCCCCATCTTTATCAGGGGTGCTGGCGTCTCCCCCATCTTTATCAGGGGTGCTGGCGTCTCCCCCATCTTTATCAGGGGTGCTGGCGTCTCCCCCATCTTCATCAGGGATGCTGGCGTCTCCCCCATCTTCATCAGGGATGCTGGCGTCTCCCCCATCTTCATCAGGGATGCTGGCGTCTCCCCCATCTTCATCAGGGGTGATGGCGTCTCCCCCATCTTCATCAGGGATGCTGGCGTCTCCCCCATCTTCATCAGGGATGCTTGCGTCTCTCCCATCTTCATCAGGGATGCTGGCGTCTCCCCCATCTTCATCAGGGATGCTGGCGTCTCTCCCATCTTCATCAGGGATGCTGGCGTCTCCCCCATCTTCATCAGGGATGCTAGCGTCTTCCCAGCCTCCCAGACAGCAGTTGTGAAGGCCGTGAACGGTGTGGAGATGCAGTAAACTCCTAAGATATTGGCCACAATGGTGTGGAAACTTAACGTTGGTTTTGAGAGCCGTTGCGACCAGCACGCAGGCGGTCGCAAGTGTGAGGCGGGTGCTGGCGATGAGCACTGAACACCAAGGGGGAGGTGGGCAGGGTGGTGGGCAGGGAGGTGGGTAGGGTGATGGGTAGGGTGGTGGGCAGGGGGATGAACCCCTTGACCATGTTCCACTTCTGGAAGGGTTCGTATATTTTTTCGTATGGGCTTTCCTTTAGGTAAATATTGTCTCTCCCTTTCTCTCTCTCTCTCTCTCTCTCTCTCTCTCTCTCTCTCTCTCTCTCTCTCTCTCTCTCTCTCTCTCTCTCTCTCTCTCTCTCTCTCTCTCTCACACACACACACGTGGAGGGAGAGAGAAATAAGTAACACACGAGAATAATGAACAGATCACAAAGGGCAAAAATTATAAATACACCAACTTTTTTTGTTATAAAAAACTTTACTGAAAGTAACATTTGTACTGACGTCAACTTGTCTACTGAAAACATTCTTACTGGTGGAAAATATTTCGGCTGGAGGAGTTGCATCAAGTCTGATGTTAATGACACTCTTACAGGTGAAACACTATTCATCATTTTTGACGTTGACGTCAAAAATGACGTCAACGTCATTTTGACGTTGACGTCAAACGTTTCGTTTGACGTTTCAAACGTTTGTCGTTTCTCTTTATATCCAAAATACTAGTAAGACAAATGCTGACGTCTTACAATAATCTTAAATGATACATTCTCCAGAGCCATGGCTTCGTAATCAACTTACATGGCTAACAATTCCTTGCTGGCAGTTTCATTAATTAAGATTAGTATAAAGATTAACAAACTCACCTTAGTTAAAAGTGAATTAAAATGAGAGACGAACAAAGGGAGAAACACAGAGATAATTTAAAATTCAATAAACCATTTTTACATGTAAAGGCGAACGACCAGAGTAAACCCAGAAATGTTGCTCTGCTTCACACACACAAAATACGAGCGTCGGCATTCCTTTGTAAATCAACAGTGAACTGCTCGACCCTTTGAGTAGCTCGACACCGCTCTCGCCTCCAGCCTCACACCTAATAAATATGCAGATGTACGTGTGTGTGATATATATATATATATATATATATATATATATATATATATATATATATATATATATATATATATATATATATATATATATATATATTGGTTGATTTGAACTTTTGGTTGCAATTTGCTTTTAGATCATCATAGCCTAGACTATCCAGAGAGAGAGAGAGAGAGAGAGAGAGAGAGAGAGAGAATGAGATAGAGACAGAGGGGGGGGGGGGTAATAATTACTTTAGATCACATAATATTTACTCACTGATCGTCCAAATAATCCATAACTAACGCGTAAGTTGACATATTGCTCACCTGTGATCATATCTCACAACATTGATCACGCCGCGTTGATTACTGCAGCCTTTGATAGCTGGGGGGGGGCAGCGTTTGATCCCTCAGAAACACTTGATAATATTTTAGGTTATTAACCCCCTCTCTCCTTCCCTCCCCCCTCCCCCCTCCCCCCTCCCCCCTCCCCCCTCCCCCCCTGCCCCTTGCACAGCTGCACGTTGGTAAAACACGAAGCTCAATCAAATTAATAATATCCTATGCTTTAAAAATTTGTTTAATTTGTTGATATACATTTCAAGTTGTGTACGAATGTACTCACCTAGTTTTACTCGCGTAGTTGTGCTTTGCGGAGGGGGGTTGAGCTTTGGCTTTTTTGGACCCGCTTCTCAACTGTCAATTAACAGGTGTATAGATTCCTGAGCCTACTGGGCTCTATCATATCTATATTTGAAACTGTGTATGGAGTCAGCCTGCCTAATGTATTCCATATAGTCATATTCCATATTCCATTAGGCAGTCATCACTGCCTAATGTATTCCATATATATATATATATATATATATATATATATATATATATATATATATATATATATATATATATATATATATATATATATATATAATATGTATATACATATATATACATGTATATATATATATATATATATATATATATATATATATATATATATATATATATATATATATATATATATATACATGTATATATATATATATACATATATATATACATGTATATATATATATATATATATATATATGTATATATATCTATCTGCCTCTGTCAGCACCTTCTCCTCAGCTTCCACCTGGACGGTAACTGTCACTTTCACACGGAAGAGTTTTTCTCCTTCACATATTTTTTGTTTGAGGTGTATACGCACACACGACTCGGGACTGTGTGTGTGTGTGTGTATGTGGAATACACACACACACACACACACACACACACACACACACACACACACACATACACACACATACACACACACATACACACGTCTCTCACTTGCAGCTGACAGCTGGGAATTTCAAGCCAAAAAAAAGGCAAACAAAAATGCCACGTTTAGTATATTGTTTGATGGGGTTTCCAACTCTGACAAGCATATAAGTTACAACGTCGCTGTTTAATAGCTTTTATCATCTCTGACATACAGGCGAGCTGCAAACCTCTTCCACTAAAAAGCAATTATTTTCTGAATTTCGTTAAGAATTACAGTTACTATTACTAATACAGAACTATTTTCCCCCTGCATAATTGAAGCAAACATAATGTACATGATTTAATCTCTTCCATGTATAGAGGCTCTTGTATACAATACATGTATACCGACTCTTCAGAACAGAAGCCCTGTGTCGCTGGTCTATGTATATTATAATACATAGTTCACAAACATGCATACTCCACATTTATAAGTCTAAGTCTGTACATATATGTCATTTATATAAGTCTGTATAAAGGATTTTATAAGTCCTTCCCACAAGAACACACACTCCCAAACATAAGGTGCAATATATCACAATAAAACATCGCAATTTCGACCTTATTATCACCCCGAAATAACCCCCTAATTATGGAATTAACTTTGCCACCAGCTTGCCATCAAAGTCTACTGACACACAACAATTCTATTATAAATAAATTGATAATGACACACAATACTCTTCAATATAAATATAGAAACTCAGTATTATTATAGAGACATAAACAGGTGCAGGTCTAGCTTGGAAACTTCAAAGTGAATTATATATAGTGAATATACACAGTACGTGATATATTGAAGCTGAAATTTTCCCAATTATCACGTTGAAAATTCTCAGGGAAATGGATAGGGTAGATAAAGATAGATTGTTTGACCTGAGAGGTATTTGTACAGAGGAATACAAGCTGTCTGTCTGTCATCAATTGGACATCTGCACACTGTAATCCCCTGTTATCTTAAACATGTGCAACACTGTAGCCCCCTGTAATCCTAAACTTGTGCACACTGTAGCCCCCGGTAATCTTAAACATGTGCAGCACTGTAGCCCCCCTGTAATCTTAAACATGTGCACACTGTAGCCCCCCTGTAATCCTAAACATGTGCACACTGTAGCCCCCCTGTAATCTTAAACATGTGCAACACTGTAGCCCCCTGTAATCTTAAACATGTGCAACACTGTAGCCCCCCTGTAATCCTAAACATGTGCACACTGTAGCCCCCTGTAATCCTAAACATGTGCATACTGTAGCCCCCCTGTAATCTTCAAGATAACTATGAAAAAAACTCAAAGCCTTGAGGTATGATAGACTCTTTAACATCTATTCTGACAACCTTAAACATTCATTTTATTTTATGATGTTTCCAAACATTCTGCAATGTCGAAGAATTGAATGTTCAGTCATCAGACACTCGGAGAACATTATCATGAAATGTTATATTGTTCTCTTTAGTATTTCTCATTCAGAAATTGACTGAGTCAAAATAAAATACTTTATTTGACTCACTGAGAATCAAATTAGGTATCGTTTCACGTTAATTTTATTGTTAGGTTCTCTTGACCCCATACTTGAGCCCCTGTACTATGCATGTAATATATACATACATGTATGTATATACATACATGTATGTATATACATACATGTATGTATATGCATACATACACTACTGTTTTCTAATATGCAAATTATCAACTTTCATTAGCGCCTATAACCATATACTATGCAAATTTGTTTGTAAATATATATATATATATATATATATATATATATATATATATATATATATATATATATATATATATATATATATATTAATTATTTTTAACAAACTCAATTGGTATTATCCAATTTTTTTCAGTTCAAACTACTTGCCAGAGATTTACATTTACGCATTTACAGAGACAGCATTTACCCTGTAAATGCTCATACCTCACTCCCATCACAATAGACTTGATAGTGGCTCAGGGCATTGTCAGGGCGCCTGACAGCTGAGTGGACAGCACTTCGGATTCTTAATCCTGAGGTTCCGGCTTCGATCCCCAGTGGAGGCGGAGACACATGGGCAAATAAGTTTCAATAAAAGATAAGTATCCTGGACACTTGGTATCCAGGATACGTGGATTCCTGGACACTTGGTATCCAGGATACGTGGATTCCTGGACACTTGGTATCCAGGATACGTGGATTCCTGGACACTTGGTATCCAGGATACGTGGATTCCTGGACACTTGGTATCCAGGATACGTGGTTTCCTGAACCCTTGGTATCCAGCTAAGGAATTAATCCCAGAGATAGAGGGCTGCCAAGGAAGCTAAATCCTGCACAGCTATTGCCATCGCAGGATTTATAGCTATTGTATAGCTATTGCATAGCTATTGTATAGCTATTGTATAGCTATTGTATAGCTATTGCAAGAGCAATATGTTTAAAAAATGGAACTTTCGACCAAATAGTTACAGCGAGTACTATCATTTCAGGAAGCTAAAGTTGAAATATGAAAAAATATATATTAATGCCAAAAAATACAAAATAATTATGGGCAAAAATACAAAATAATAATGGGCAAAAATACAAAATTATAATGGGGAGTAATTCTTCAAGAGAGTACAACACTGTGGTGGTGCAAGACTTAAACATTAGTGTTGCTATAATGGGGGTAGGTTATATTAATATATTCACAGTGGCAATTATCATAACTTATGCAAACATTTGGCTGTGTCAGCGCGTATTTACATCAGTGCTAAAATGTAATAAATGTGTACCATAAATTGTGGAAAATCCAACCAAAAAAGCCTCCAAAAGCCTCTCAACGTGTACAAGTTTAACTAGACACAAATGCAACAGAATTCGGGAAATTTTATCTGTATTGAAATTAGAAATATTGCCGGAACAACCGTGGACATCTTCGGGAGAAAACTTGACTGTTTTCTAAGAGAAGTTCCGGATCAGCCGGGCTGTGGGGGGTACGTGGGCCTGCGGGTCGCTCCAAGCAACAGCCTGGTGGGTCAAACTCTTACAAGTCGAGCCTGGACTCGGGCCGGGCTTGGGGAGTAGAAGAACTCCCAGAACCCCATCAAGCAGATTGAAAAGTGGACCTTTTTAGATATATTGGTTGCATTATTAGCCCTTTTGTTTTAAAAGCTATATATTAAAAATTATCTTTTTTTTTTAGACTTCCTAGTCTTTAAAGTCCATATCGGATTTACTTATGTTTGTATAAAAATGTTTTTTTAGCTTCTTGGGTTTGAATATTTTGTCTCTTTTGATTCTTCAATGTTTAAAGAAAAATTATCAGAACTTGAATTAATGTTATTCTTTATAATTAGTCTCGCTTTCATTTGACTTTATTGAAGACCTTTTTTTCAGAATCATCTATTTCATCTATTTCCTATTTTGAACAAGATCCTCAACTCCTTGTTATATGGTAGAATCTCATCCCAATCCTTTGGTAAAGTTCCTGAACAAATAAAGTATATTTGCTTACAGTTTTCATGAATAGTTAGGTTATCAAATTATGAACAATTACCTACGTTGATGACATAAAAAATCTAGAATCGTTTCGGTTAATTCTCATACGTTTAGAAGCTGTTTCAAGTTTACAGAATTATCATGCAGAAATTTTTTTCCATTTGCTGAACTATATCATTCCTTTGCTTTGTCTCTGGGCCGGCCGGCCGAGCGGACAGCACGCTGTACACGTAATCCTGTGGTCCAGGGTTCGATCCCGGGCGCCGGCGAGAAACAATGGGCAGACTTTCTTTCACCCTATGCCCCTGTTACCTAGCAGTAAATAGGTACCTGGGAGCTAGTCAGCTGTCACGGGCTGCTTCCTGGGGGTGGAGGCCTGGTAGAGGACCGGGCCGCGGGGACGCTAGAAAGCCCCGAAATCAACTCAAGATAACCTCAAGATAACCTCGTGTTCCCTCGAATTTAGGCATTACAGGGACATTAGTCAGAAGATTTCCATATATTACCTATAAGTCGGACAATAAAATGGATATGAGGAT